ATATATATGATTATTATTATTAATATTATACTTTTATTGTAATTACAATTATCGTAATTATTATTTTTATTATTATTGTCTTTATCAATTCTATTGCTATTATTACTGATATTATCATTATTATTCATATTTGCTATATCGTCAATTGCGAAAAAAAGAATTGGATTCGGCGAACACAGCGTGAAAAAAAAACGAGCGAGCGGCTCCGACACAATGCGTGTGGAGTACGCGATCCTTAAAACTTGCGGGAAAAAAAACGAAAAAAAAAAATTAATTTTTGATCGGTGAGCAAAATAAATTGCTCTGTGCGAATTATATTCATAAATTCTGTTTCTTTCTCTTTCCTTTCTTTTTCATTTCATCAACACGTAGGCGAGCGTCATATGTCAACACTGCGCCAGCCAATTAGTGCCCCAATTAATCGCATACAGCGCTTTTTTTATTTTCTTTTCGATTTTTCTCGAGAGAAACGATCGCCGTAACTGATCGTTTTCTTTAAAGGGCGAACGACGTGCTTGGAAAGGAAAGAGAAGGAACTAAACGAAACCGGATGTAATACTGAGAAAAAGAGAATAAAATACAAAGAAAATACAGTGCCTATCACTCCGGTCTGGAAACTCTCGTACAAAAATCATATACAGGGCCAAGAGGAACAAAATATAATGTTAGTGTTGATAGCTATTTACATGAAAGCGCAATAAAAATTATTACGATACAATTGCTCCGAAATTCTCGTCTCCTTTACTAAGGTTCTCAGGAAGTTTCAGGAAGATGATCAGACTCGGTCCTCGCGAAACGGCAGAGATCGAAATCGGACAGGATTACCATACGGTGAAGGAAACGAAAGGGAGAGCCGTTGCTCTAGGAGCGAATGATCTTTCACGAGTAAAAACAGGCTGTGTCGATTCTAAAGTTGTTAAACGCTTCTTCGCGGACAGCATTACATATCAAGCCGCGTTAACGCCATGTTCGTTCACCGCTCGTAGCTACACAAGAATGCACTCGCGACGTGCGTCGCGATGCGTCAAACGCAACAGAGAACTGCCAGCAATATCGCGCGATGTCTGCGTCGAAGAATAATTAATGTCTCGGTGATTAAAAAGATAAATAGATAAATAAATTTTTGTTCCGTTGTAACGCACATCGAATAATATTCAAGATAATTTTTAAAGAAATCAACGTCATACAACACTAAACTTGTAGCAACAATGTTACGTTTGCAATGTTATTGCAATATTGCTGGAATGCAATATTGCAATGTTGCTGTAATATTGGTTGTTGGAATAATATGTGCTGTATGGGATCGGAATATTGAATCAACATCACACGAACATCTCTTATTTAACTTTTAAATGTTAAAATCATTGCGAGGTTGTTCCAAATTAATAATTCAAGTTTAGAATAACAATGGACCTTTAAACTTTCGAACTGTCCAAGCTTTAAGGCTTTAGGCGCGCGTCTGAAAGTGGCGCAGGATGGTTACAATGAGCGGGAAGAAAAGGGGGGAAGGGGAAAAGGAGGGAAGGAACACCAGTTCAGATATCGTAAATTACTCGAGCAATTTGCAGCCGAGTGCACACGACGAGGAAGGGCACTTGTGCAAACAGAGGGCGATGAGCGAAAGAGCACGAGAAACTGACTTCTCGGGACCGGTCGAACGGAGCGCGAGCCACCTTTTAATTCGCCCCCCCCCCCCCCCCCCCCCCCCCCCCCC